GTGTAAATACCAAATAGTTTCTCTAGTGTGAGAAACTGAAAGTGTAAATAAGGACTAAAAAGTATAATAGATAATGTGAAATAGGAAGAAAAGGGGCGAAGTGGAAGTGGGAGGGGTAGGGGAAAGGAAAAAAGGGAATGGGATTAATATGAAAAAATGGAAATAAAGTCTTTGTAAATAGGGAGGGGTGGAAGGGAGGGCAGGGGAAGGGGGAAAAATAAGAACCAAGAGAGATTATGTAAGGGTACAAATTTCCAGTGATGAATGTCCTTATATTGAATACCTAAAATGTACCAATATTGGTATTGGAATAAAGTCCGACACCTCCCTGTGCCCGAGGGCTGAGTGGTCTGGCTTCTGCTCCCTTTAGGAGCTTCTCCAGTCTCCTGCAGTCCCCTCAGTGCACTCCAGCCACCTGGCCTTCTTTCTCTTCCTGAAAATGTTAAACTTGCTTCGTTCTGGGGCTGTGACACTGGGAAAGTTCTCTGCCTGGGATAACTTTTCCATACAGAGGGGAAAGGCTGGCTCTCTGTTGTTGTTCAGGCTTCAGTCAAGTCCTCTTCCAGCCTTCTTCCCGTTACTTTTTATCAAATTGCCCAGTTCTGGCCTCCTGCTTAGCTCTTCTTTGTCTACTAGACCATGCTCCATGAAAGCAGGCATTGTGATGTTTCCTTTATTGCTTTCTGTGTGAGGCTGAGACCAGTTCCTGGCACAGAGCAGTACATATTTGTTGATTAAAGTTGCTTAATTTTCTTGAGCCTCAGTTTCTCACCTGTCATGTATAATAACTGGCTTTTATAAAGGTATTTAGGGCCGGGGATTTAGCTCAGTGGTTCTGCTGCCTGCCTCGCAAGCACAAGAACCCGAGTTCAATTCCTAGTACCAAAAAAAAAGCAAGGTTGTATTTAGACTTCAGATAAGTGCACGTGAAATATTTAGTTCAATGTTTGGTGCACATTTTGTCGCATTGTAACGTGTCATTGCTTCAAAGAGATTATTTCCGTTGCCATGTTCACTTACATTCACCCACCCTCGTCCAGCTCCTGTCGCTGATGATCCATACAGCGTATTATGAGCATTTGTAGTGCAGATGTTGCCTGGTAGATGCTTGCCATTAAACTCTAACGTAGTTTCCCCTTGCCGTGTTTTCTGCTCAGGTCCTGCAGCTGGGCTCAGACATCCTTCCGCAGTACAAGCAGGAGGCACCCAAGACTCCCCCTCACATCATCCTGCACTACTGTGTTTTTAAGACCACGTGGGATTGGATCATCTTGATCTTGACTTTCTACACAGCCATTTTGGTCCCTTACAATGTCTCCTTTAAGACCAGACAGAACAATGTGGCCTGGCTGGTTGTGGACAGCATCGTGGATGTCATCTTTTTGGTGGACATTGTGCTGAATTTTCATACCACATTTGTTGGACCAGCGGGGGAGGTGATTTCTGACCCCAAACTTATCCGCATGAACTACCTGAAGACGTGGTTTGTGATTGACCTTCTGTCCTGTTTGCCATATGATGTCATCAACGCTTTTGAGAACGTGGATGAGGTTAGTGCCTTTATGGGTGATCCAGGGAAGATTGATTTTGCTGATCAGATTCCACCACCACTGGAGGGGAGAGAGAGTCAGGTACATCCTCAAATCTCAGACCTTGTTGTCATGTCTGTGTTGCTGAATTAAACATGGGTGGTCAACAGAAGAGGAATCGAATGGGTGGGACCTAGCATGACTGATGGCCAAAACTGAGGGTGCATGCTTGCCAGATATCCTTGCCTGCTCTTCCTGTCCTTTGGAGGCTTGGAGGCCCTGCATGCCATGGAGGGGCTTGGAAGAGACCAAAGGCTTGCCCTTCCTCCTCATGGAGTGCAAGCTGCTGGCTCGGGAAGTGAGGCTGCAGAAGCAGCCATGCATGGCCACTGCACTGGTGAATCTTCTTGTTATTCCATTGTTGAATGTTTACCTATTTATTACTCTACTTACGAGGACTTTCCTTTCATGTGTTGTTGACTTTTGGCTATTTCATAGGCAATTGACTTGTAGTAGCACATACCATTAAATCTCTAGTTTCTTCTTTTCTTTTTATAACTGTTGACATGAGTTATTTCTTTGCCAAAATGAGTTTTGGAGGTGATCTGGGAGATGTTCAGGTTCCTCCTTGTGGTTAAAAGTGTAGGGTTTTTTGATTACTTTGGATTGTTGGTCTTAAGGATGATGAAAGGAATTAAAAGATAAATACTCTGAATATGCTGGCATCGAGACATGTTCAAAGAGTCATTGAATGGCTGCTTGGGACAGTGTGTCCTTTGAAAAAGCAAGAATGTCAACTCGTTTCAAGGAAAAATTTCAGATTCGTTCTTCTACTTCTAGTTGACGCTTCAGTTGGATTAAGATAGGGCAGTTCACTGATAAACGCTCAGCCTGCCTCAGAGGTGGGCCCTCATTTCCTCAGATTCTGGAGGGTCCTGGGGATGGAATGGGCAGGTGCTCTAGGCAGCTACCTGGAGGCCGAGTGTAGGGAGGACCTGTAGGGCTGAAGAGCCTCAGACTCTACCTTGAGCCATCTGGGAGGAGCAGTTTGTTCCCTGACCGGTGACTGTGTCTGGCTGGTGGCATGATGAGGCCTCTCTGCCTTCAGGCTGGCACCCGCCCAGCCCTTGCTCTGGGGAACAGCCTACCCCCTCTCTCCTGCTGAGAGTAGCTCTTCCTACCGAATGCTGCCACACGCAGCGCCGGGAGGAGAGATCTTGACGCTCTGCCTCTCTAGATCCTGACGCTCTGCCTCTCTAGATCCTGAGTAACCCTGCTTCTCTCTGTGTGGTGTTTTTCAGTGTGCTTTAAAATCCTTGAGATTAATTTTCTGAGTAGCTTGTGTGGATTTTATAGAGGATTAAATGAGTCAAGGTTGATCATTTAGAAGAACAAAATCACCTCTAATGTTAATGCTGGGATTCTTAAATATGAATTTTAGTATATGTTGGGAATGATATTTTTCTCTGTGAGCAGATTTCTAGAAAATTTTGTTAGGAAAATACGATTTTGGCTTAGGTAATTCAAATGAATGATCCTCAGCTCAAAGGGTTTCTTATACACACATGGGAAGTGAAATTTAACTTTAAAAACCGCTTGAGTTTATAAAATAAACTATTGCTATTTCTAGGAATAGTACCGAAATTTTGAAGATAAATAAAACAGTTCTCCAGCTTTCCTGGGTTCTAATTAAAAGTTGGCAGAGCTGTAACACACATGTGAAATCTGTCTGGATAACCTGTAGGTTAAAGGGCGGAGAGCTTGTCCTGAGGGACTGTATGCTGGGTTGGAACTCCTTTCACTGTGACTCCCCTGATGGTGATTTCTGATTTCTAGCTTTATGAAATAGGTTGGTAATAGGAAAAATGCCCATTATCTGAAACTTTCCAGTTGGTAAAGGATTTAGTATCAAAGCTCTTACAACTACCTTTGATCATAAAAGTATATAAATAGTGAGTTTCTTCTGTAAAGACTTGATTTATATTTGGTAATGCTTTAAAGCTTTGCCTGACACCCAAAATAATACCCTTTAATACCAATTGTGGCACTGTGGAGGGAGATCAGTGTGAGAAAACTGAAAATTTGGTTTCTGGTCCTTTTGGTATGACCTGTTAGGACAGCTGTGGCCCTGGTGCCTGTTACTGAGCTTTTCTAAATCAGTTTTCCTATCTATATCTTAGGTTAATTCTACTTGAGCAGTCTGTTTAGGCAGTGGATTATTTAAGTTCCCTATCAGTTCCAAGGGCTCAAGTCTGGTGAATTCCAAGTCTCATGTGTGTTAACCTCATCTCCAGAAGCTGAGTATAAAAAGACCAGGCTAGTCCTCTGATTCCCTACCTGCAGTGGGTGGGAGGAAGAAGAGATTGTTTGGACAAAGCCCAGAAAAATTCCCCTTGGTAGAATTCTGATTATGGATTAGTGGGTTCATCTTCACCATCTGTTCTTTTCTTGTCCAGTGTCAAGTTTGCGTAGCTGCAACTCCTCTAGATTTTTTTCTCTGGGAGAGTATGGGGAGACATAAGAAATTATTGACTCATTTCTCATACAAAATCCATGGAGCTTAATTAACGCTGGTACTGTAATTGTACCAATGGACTGCACGCCAGTGGACCCCAGCAAAGAGGAGGAGACAGCAGTGGTGGCTCTGCCATCTCTGAGTGTGTGTGCACTAGGGGTAGGGGCTGTTGAAATGAGGAGACTGGATCCCCCCGCCTGGGTCGAGAAGGAACTAGGTTAAACTATTCATGCCTGCAGTGGTGAGTTCAGCCCTGTGGATAACACCCGTCTGCAGGACTTAGGCCACAGAAATGATTCCTTTGGCTCAACTCGCTTCACTTCTGTAGATGGCTTCCGATTGCATCACTCTCCAGCCTGTTGGTAATAATCTGTGTTGGAAGCTGTTTGGGGATGTGTTTGCACATTAGCTAAACTCATTAGAGGACAAAGGTCTGGAGCGGAGTGAACTACAGTGTGGAATGGGTTTGTTAAAGCACAAGCCAAATGAGCCTTTCAAGTGTCTGGCGGATCATTGGCCTGTTGTGCTTCATGGGTTAAAGATGGAATTACTACTGGCTAAATGGATTCACTCTCCTGGGGAAACCTTATTGCTTATTGCTGTTGGAGAGTGGAAGTCCAAAGGGGAACACTGGGGGTAATTGTGATCGTCCCTGGGCGTCCCTGTGATGGCCTGGAGACAGAAGGTGTCCCAGAGATTCTCCTGTCCCTGGCTCTGTAACCGCAGGCAGCAGCACAAGCAGCTCTGCTTGCTGAGAGCCCACTGTCACGGAGATGCCTGCATTGGAGTGGGGCAGGAGCAAGGTAGGGTGATGAAAAGGAGTGACTCTGACCACAGCGTCCGAACCCTTTCAGGCCATGTGGAAGGGCAGAAAGCAGTCGCAGCTGGGAGGAAGGTGGCGTGTGACCCGGTGCCCATCTCCCTGGACTCGGTTTGCCTCACCCACGTTTGATGAGTCCATCCCACCACTCACTTTTTGTGGCTGACAGGAGGAGTTATCTCTGCTTCTCAGACCAGGGCAAAGGGGCAGGTTGTCCTTGGCCTGGGAGCACAGCACAAACACTGAGTCTTCCACTTGCTTGAAGGGGAGGCATGCTACCTGGACAGTCCCTTCTACCATGAGCACAAGTCTTAGAAGACTGAAAAATAAAGGAAAAGTTTTCGATAGCATTGCCAGGACAAGGGGCAGCTGTGGCCTTGCTAACATCCCTAACCAAACTTCAGCCACCAGCCATTACTGGTAAGTCACCGTTGTCGGAGAGAAAGAGCCTATCAGCAGCACTTCTTGGTACCGGGGATCAAACTCAGGTCCTTGCACTTGCGCAGCAGGCAGCGGAACCACTGAGCTAAATCCCCGGCCCAGCAGCACTTCTTGCCACTAACAAGTCACGAGAATGAAAACTCTGGTGGTTTTGTTTTGTCTTCTTTTTCCAAAATAACTGGGTAGCAGAAGCAGTCAGTACAAACATGATAGCTAGGAATGCCAAGGAAAAGTGGGTGAAACCTGAGACTGCTCAGCACTATTGAGTTTTTCTGTCTGCTGTGTTGTCAGGCGAAGCAACTTGAAATCGGTTTTAATGTCATTGGTTTTTATCCAGGAGCCACCATAGGCTGCTGATATGTCCAAGTATGCATCCCAGTGTCTCCCCTCCCTTCCCCTCCTGTCCAGGGGACCCACAACAAGGTCTGCACTGATGGGTCTGAAACACCCACTGTGATTTAGTAATGACCTTTTAAGATTGCTGTTGTTAAATCATGGTACAGCCATATAATGGAATATTATTCAGCAAAAGAAATGAGCTGTTATGCCACAAAAAGACGTGGAGGAAAGGTAGGTGCCTATCGGTAAATGAAAGAAGTCAACGTTGAAAGGCCTACACGCTGCATACCAATGCTGCAAAGTTGGGGAAGGCAAACCTATGGTGACAGTCTAGAGATAGTTGTTGCCTGGGATTCAGAGTGGAGGGAAGAGCAGATGTTTAGGGCACCGAAAGTACTTGGTATGACTCTGCAATGGTGGGTACCTGTCACTGAACACTTGGCCAAACCTGTAGAATATGTAGTACAGAGAGGGAACCTGATGTTCCCTAGTGAGCTCTGTGGGCTTTAGCTAATGATATTGCATCTGTATTGGCTCATCATTTTATAACAGATGTACCACAGTGATTGAGAGGTTAGTGACAGAAAATTCGCTGTTTCTGTACTTCCTCCTTCAGTTTTAATAAACTAAAACTGCTCTAAAAATACCCTATTAATTAACTCCTCACATCGCTGTCATGAGACCCAGGGATTGCCTCTAAGCTGGGACTCTAAGAAAAGCCCTGGACATCTCGTGACTTTCAGCCTAACCGCTTCCTGCCAGCCTTCAGCCAGACAGAAGCCACAGGTGAGGGCTGGTGACTCTGTTACCATGGGAACAAGAAAGTCTTGCGTGAACCCAGAAGAACCTAGACGCCAGGCTGTGTGCCAAGGAAAGATAAGTAGGGTAGGCAGGTGGACCTTGGAGTCCCTGTTGCCCTCCATCCCCCCAGCTATCATGACACAGACAGGTGCATGCGCACACACACGCACAGCAGTGAGCTCAGAC